TTGCTGGAAATAGTAAGGTGGTTTGATTATTTTAATTACATTCCAGTAAGTTATTTTATTTTAATAGTCGGTTAAGACAATAAACGAGCAGAAAATGTAAAATAGAGTAAAATTACAATTTCATTAATTAATAGACAACTTTATCACCAATAGAAAAGATCTGTAATCTGTAATGCAGAGATAGTGTAAAATTGTTTTAGTCAAGGTGCTTTAAATAATTTATGGTTTTGAAGGAAGCAGCTCTACTAGTGCTGCTTCACAGTTTGTAAATGCTATTTTGTATAAATCAATGCTAACTCATAATTGTAGCTAATAATATAAACATTGTAATATCAAAAGTAACAAATAACATACATAGTCTTCAGTCCAAAAAATTTTACAAGTATTCTGCCTCATGGCAACCATCTTGAATTTTGTCTACTGCACTAATTTAAAGTAGAAGTCACTAAATTGTTCTTTAATAAAGCCACTTTAAGCATTTTTACTGGGCAAAGCAATTAAAGTTCATTAAACTGTACAACTTTGGAAAAGATAACACTATCCCAGAGAATAGACACAGCTTGAATGAACAAACAAAAAGACTGGAACCCATGAGTCATATAATTGTAACCCAAGAAAATTTCAATCTGGTTTCATTTGTGGTTACAATATTTTGTTCTCATAAATATCAATCAGCACTTGTATTGAGAATCTCATCTTATAAATTGAGAGAGAGAGAGAGAGAAAATGAAACAACTTGTATCAAATTTACATATATTGAGTACCCATAAATCAGTGTCATACTATATTTACAATATTTTAAGATAAATCAACATTTTAATTTTAACTGAATTATAAAGATTGAAACAAACTGTAAAGAAAGAACAAATTGTCTTAGATTTGGAGGTTATAAAACTTATTTAGTTTGGCATTTTCATATCATCATGTTGCCCTCAAAAGTATTGTCCATGTTAGAATTAACTTGTTGAATTGAACTATTAACAAACAGAACAAATCATATATAATTCACAGTGAACTAAACATTTAACATAACATTTAATTGCAAATATTTTCAATCAACATAATAAGCTGAAAATGTTTGCATCATCATTTTATAACATTTTACATATATTAAACTTTTCCAATATATTGACTACTTTTACAAAATTCATATTTAATACATAATAACTTATTGATATGATATGATATAATAATATACTCACGGCTACTTTAGGTGGATTGAATTCAGTATGATAAACTCTTCCGCTTGAAAGATGTATATATCTTCCTTTCACTCTCTCTATGATAATGTCATCTGGAACATCCAGTTTAATAACGCAAGAAACCGGAAGAATTTCATCCAGATATTTTGCTTGTGGAACGGTACGAGGAAATCCTATTTATATATTTTTAATTAAGACGTTATTCAATTTCTATTTAGACTTAATTTTTAATTGAACTTTCAATAGAAAAGATATACTTCCCATCAAGTAATAAGCTAGGACTGTTACTCTTTATCAAAGAAGATATTTGTGAAGAAAATAATCTTATTGCTAAATCATCGGGAACTAATTTTCCTTTCTCGATAAACTTTTTTGCTTCGTTTCCGGCATCTACAAATATGACAAATTTCAATGATGTTATAATGATAAACAAGATAGGAACAAACTGTTTTTAATCTTTATTTTGATATTAGTGAAAATCTATTGACTAAAATAAATTTTCAAATTATATTTTAGTTAATTATCTATCTTTTCTATTTAAATCTATTCATTAGTAACTTTTTACCATTTAAATATAAATTTATTATTCAAAACAAATTTTAAATTATAACATCAGACTTTATCATTTAATAAATTAAAATAGTTGTTATTATTACATGAAATCCCTGTTAGATTGAACTCAGATAGTTCAAAATCCCATTAGTTTGTAACTGTACTTTTGTCCTGACTGGAAATATAGAGATTTACACATTAAGAAATTTGGTTACTTTGAAATACAGCTACTTAGAAATTTGAAGTGAAAATTCTGTCCAAACTGTGATATGTATATGTTAACTCTTTTGTTTAGATCAAAGTGCCTCCATGCTATAAGAGAACAATAGACCAAGAACGATTCTAATTTAGTCAAAAATGTGTTGCTTTTATACTAACACATTTTTGGGTGTCACCTAACCTTTTTTTTCCTCATCTCATAAAATATGACTGAGTTTTGGGATTGAAAGATTGGGCTACAAGTAGCAGAGTGAGATATTTGTAGGCTCTAGGCTACTACATTTGAGCAACTTACTACTTTTTGGGCCACTTTAAAAATAATTTGAGCTGCATTTAGAGAAATTCTGCTTTACTTTTTATAAAACCTACTGACAACCTGAGGTTCTTACTGGACATGTGCTGTTTATCTTCACATTTATATTATTATTATTATTATTATTAATTTTTAATTAACAAAAGTAGCATTCTGTACATGTATCCATATTTCATTTGCTTAATAAATTATTTCTATCAAAATTTGTTTCCAAATTTCTAGAAACAATTATCAATAAATTCCTCACCATGCACGGAAAGCTAGAACTTCTTTAAATCAGTTTTACAAAACCTTTTTACACATTTTCTAACAGTTTCTTGAGAGAACAAACTGGATTCCTCACCACTATCTTCCTTTTCTCAATGTCTTTGGATAATCCAGAACAAAAGTTAGATCTGGTTGGTTAGGACTAACAATCTGCATATTTTCCTATCTCACTTTATTTATTCTTGCAAAACATATAGAGTAGAGCGTCGTTTATCTGAAAGAATTCCAGTCAGCAAATTTAAATTTTCGCTAGTGCTGTGGTGTTGCAGTCT